TTAACCGACTGAGCCACCCAGGCGCCCCGTTTTGTTTTTTGAAACTATCTAGGAAAGCAGGTGGGGCTCCAGGGCAGGACCATGATCCTCTAGTAGAGTATTTTCTAACCCAGCATCCACTGAATTTCAGGAGGCTGTGGGAGGTACAAACACCGTCTGATTCCTGCGTGTAGGCGGGATACAGCAGTAGGTTTACTCAGGTCTGGAATGTTGAGTCACAGCTGTGTGTGTTTGAATAAAGAAAGCACAGCATGGTGAACAGAGCTTTGAACTGAGGCAGGTCTCCTAAGCCCGAAGCCTGGCTTCCCTTGCTCACCCTGCTCCCCTATTTGTACCTCCGTGTCTCCACCTGCAAATAAGAGTACTGACCTAGAGATGACCAGAGGACAGATTCGACTGAGCTAGAAAAAGAACTTGAGCCCCACACAACGTCTAGGTCACTGCTCTCGGCCTGAGTTCATATCTGCTTCACCAGGGATATTTTAGAAATAGATTCTCGGCCCCTTCCAGAAGTCAGGCGTGGGGCGTAAGCATCACAACCACGTGATTCTGCCATTCAACCAGCTTGGAAAACTGGGCCCCTGCTCAAATCTGGCCGGTTTCCTGGTTTTTCATAAATAACATTTTACTGGAACATTGTCCCACCCATTAATTTACCGTGGTCTGTGGCTGCTTTTGTACTCCCAGCGGCAAAGCCGAGTAGTTGCAACAGAAACTTCATGGCCAGCAAACCCTAAATTGTCTATTATCTGGCCCTTTACAGAAAAGGCATGCTGACGTCTCTCATAGGGGATACTGGCTTGGTTTGTTTTTTTTTTTTTAATAGTAATGATATATTATTTTGTCTTTTTTTTATAAAATAGAGAGTCAAGATGCCACCTAAAACCAGAAATAGAGATTTGACCTTATTTTTTTTAATTGCAGAGAGTGGCCCATAGAGAATTGAAAATAGTGATCTGATCGTACAAGAAGGGACAGGGGAGGGTCGAGAGCGTGGATGAAATCCTCTTCTCCTAGCAGAAACTCACTAGGAGTGTCCAGAGTCGGCACACAAAAAAAGACCACTGAAGCATGGTGTTCACCCATAAGAGCAGTGGCACCGGACGGACTGGGGGCAGCTGCCACAGGAGCAGGTCCGGGTGGCAGACTGCTGTTCTTTGTGGTCTTAAAACAAAAAAATCAGGATTCACCTAAAGTGTTTCTTTAATTGCAGCATTTACCCTCCAGTTCCGGGACAGGAGAGCCCTCTGAGGTGGGCAGGAAAGAAATTCGAGGAGATCCCGATCGCACACATTAAAGCATCCTACAACAAGTAAGTGGCAGGAGCGCCTGGGCAGGTCTCGTGGGGGCTTCTGTCCCCTTCGTGGGGGAGGGCAACCCCGGCGGGGAGGGAGGGCCGAGTTCCACAGGGCAGTGTTGATGCACACTCCTCCCTCCTTTTTTGGGGGGAATCCACCTCTGTCTTTATAAAGTTTATTCAGGGTGCCTGGGTGGCTCAGTCATTAAGCTCTGACTTCTGCTCAGGTCATGATCTCTTGGTCTCATGGTTCGAGTCCCATA